TCTTCCCTTAGTGTACCATTCAGAGCTGCTAACTCCTTCAGCTGTTCCCTCTTGTAGTGGTCCATAGACTCGTCCTGCAGAAGCCAAGAACCAAAACCATGTGTCAACAAAAGGTTTTGGATTACGACACCGAGATAGAGATGTTTGGATTTTTTTGTGTGAAAAGAATGTACCATTGGCTTTAGGAGCGATTCCAGGAAATGGACAGCATGCTCCAATCGAGAGTGTATTATGTCTTCTGGAAGCTCGGCTTCAATCAGTACGTGTAATGGTTCGCTGAGATGCTCGTAACCTGGCTTACCTTTAAGTTTTTCCTCCTGCAAGAAAGCAAAAGGACTAGATGGATGAGCCTTGACAACACATGAAAGATTTATCAAAAGAAAAGAACTTTAATGAGAGTTGGAAACACTTAAATATCAGACACTTCATTTCTTCGACAGATTTTCAAATTTCAATAGTCTCCTAATGTGAAGAAAAGTAGTAGCTAATAATGCAGGAGAAACTGTATCATCACTTTAATAAGAGATTGCAATGCTAAAAAAGGCTGAAAACGCTTATGCACAATGGAAAAACATAGTCGCCAAAGAGCGTAAGCAAATCACGCATATTCAACACATGGCTGTAGAACAGGTTGGCAAGTAAAAACATATGAGACAAAGTCAATTTTTGAGCTGTAAGAAGTCTTCTAGACTTGCAGTTGAAACATTGCTAAAATGAAATGGTTCAGAGAATCAATTAACAAAGAACCATACCTTGACAGTATCCTTCACAGATCCTCGTCCTCTAATGAACACCCTGCAGTGTGTTGCCAGCTCAACTCTTTTTAGGGAGTTTCCACGTGGCCCGAGAATCCGGCCAACAAAATTATACTGCAAGATTCAATGGAGTTAACTCGAGACCAACCCAATCGTACTAACATATTTCGCTAAATTTTTTTAAAACTTACACTTGGAAATTTATCCACGGGCACATCAAGTCTAATCACTCTTTTCACAATGGGTGGGGTAGGGAGCCCGGGCATCCCAACCCATCCCACTGGAGCAGGACCACGAAATGGAGAAGCTCTCTGGAGATGACAATTTTCCTGAAAAAAGCAAACAATCAAGATCGATAAACCCCACTTTTGATTTTAGAATTCTTTGCAAAACCATCATAGTTCAACGTGAGTCAGATATTTGACTTCAAATATCAGCAGCGGCTTACCTCTGCTTGCATCATTGACCATCCCTCTAAATCAAGCTTTCCATTAGTCGGCTGGCCAAGCGATCTAAATGGACTGCCATGCTCATATCTCTCAAGATCAGAAAAACTAGAAACCCTCCGGATTTCTGCAAAGAGGCCACCCATGTAAGCAATAAAGCAAATGTTTCAAAAGAAACTATAACAGTTAAGCATGCTGAAAATTTCAAAGCACATTTATTTCTTTCAAGATTCGCATAATCCCTCAAGGGCATGGTTTACAGTTAAAAGCTAGATAAACAAGTCTGGAAACAAGCTTTTAATCATTATAATGCATATTTTACAGGCAAATAAGGCTCCCAGTGGATATAATTTGATGATAAGAAAGCTTACCTTGATTTAGCAGTCTGCAGCAATGTGGCATTACTTGCAAAAAGGGACTCAGCTTTTGTCTCTCTTGTAATAATTCAGCCAAGTACCTGAATAAGGTAAAAAACAATGAAACGTAAGTTCCACTGGGTGCTGCATTTTCTGTGTGTTGACAACTGACCGATTCACATTGGAGTCACAGCACACATGTAAACTAAACATCAAGAATATACATCAGCATACTCATTTCAAAAACATTGATAAAATATAGCCTTCAAGTTAAAATCATTGCGTACACTATATGAAAAAGGTGACACTGTGAGGGGAGACTAAGATTGAAAAGTTGGGTCATGAAAAATAGAAACTTTAAACTGAATCATTTTCAACACTCATCACATTAAACGGAACAAAACCCATCAATCATAGACGACACGCACACACTTCGACGATTTCAAATAACTCAACAAGTCTATAAGAAAACCGATCCACAACAAAACAATCAACTTTGATCCAAAAAACCTCACTCAGATTTATATTAACAAAAAGGGTACGAAAGAAGAGAGAAAAGTCGAAACCTTTCACGATCAGTGGGAGGACAAGGAGATCTATTGGGAGAAGCACGGAATCCAGAAAGTGGATACTGGAAGAAACTTCCGGGAGAGATCCGCTCTTCCATGGCCGCAAAACCAACGCCGGATTCCATCATCTGCACTCAATAAACCCATAAGAAAGTGTTCAA